ATGTCACTTTAAGCTGAATACTAGTATCTTGATAAATATCTAGTAAAATATTATGTACCGTAATCATAGCAAAGATAAAAGAAATGAGTTATTAAATCTGTTATGTTTAAACTGTGTTTTAAGCATCTTCACGGTAAGGAAGAAACTTTAGATACAAAAGTCCTTCAGTCAAGAGCAGTGAGGTATTTTCTCCTTTTGTTGTTTGATTAATAATAAAAACAGTCAGCAGCAGGAATATCACACAATTTCACTTTAAGAATGGTGCGGCTCTGATATGGTTCCTTTTTCATGTGTCTTTTGATTCTCAACCTGTTTGTTTATTACACAAATGAGGGTTATTATGAATAATCACCTAACACCGCGCTCTGACACAAATGTCCATGTATTTGATGATTAAAGCGCTCACATTAAGTTGGCGTGTGTGCTCTGTTGTCCAAGGCTTTGCGCGCACACACACACACACACACCCACACTCACTACCTGTACGAGGCTAAGCGCGGCGCGGACACACACAACAGCATGTGCTTTTTCGCGCTTTTGAAAATATGAATGATGCGCAAACGTTACATAACAGCACATGCTTTTAATCATTTTCACGTGGGAACTGAGCTTTGCAGAGCAACAAATGTGTACAACTGTAAAGGGGGCGGTATATGATGGAATAATTGTTTATCTCGATTAATGGTTTAACATAATCATTAGAAGCCAAAATCGAAATCGAAATCGGATTTTCGATTAATTGCACAGCAGTAGTGCGACTCAATTGTTGTTTGCTAGTATCAGCTCAACGCAAGAGTCATTTTAATGTTTTGCAGCATGCTGTTTAAATAGCAAATGCATTTGCACTCATATGTGCCCCCAAAGGCGTTCTGGACTAAAAAAGGAGGTGTGTTGAGGTGCATTGCTGGTGCGTTGCTATTTTGAGGAACTAGAATAGACTGTTAAATATACCAGCTAAGAGGAGGTCTAAAGTACAGTGCAGAGCTTGTTAGTTGTGCACCTTGCTTAAACACACAGGATGCAATATGAAAATATTTTTTTACAAATGACAAAGAATTAAAGGATTAAAATATTACAAAAAATATTATTTTCCAGCCAAAATAAATATAAAAAACAAAAATAAATATAAAAAGGCCTCCAAAAGCAGATTTTTCTGTCCTTAAAATAGCAAAAGTGGATTCGGTCAGACCCTTAATGCTTTTGCGCCCTGCGCTTTGGACTTTGCGCCTAGATCATCAAAATAGAGCCCATCATGTTTATTCTAAACAAAACACATACATCTTCTGGTGGGGCTGATCCTAAGTGACACAGGAAAGAGAAAACATCTTTAAAAGTCAGTTAGACCTTTTTATAGACATTTTCAACACAATTTTTATAAGGTGTAGAAAATTTTTTAGTTTTTTTTGCAAACAAATGTTTTCCCTTAAAGCAAAGAAAGCCACTGGTCAACAAAAAACTGTGTAATTTGTTTATTTAAATATGTTGTCTATAAATAATGGGTTTAATGAGCGCTCAACCAAATTATCCTACCTTTCCCAGAAAAATCTGTCACGCAAAATCTGGGTCCCTCAGCTCAGTGCACCATAAACGGAGAAAACTGAAGCAGCATGACAGTGCTCATCTCCTTCTTTCTGCTGAAGGGAGGGCTCAATAATTGCATTTATCCTTCTGCAGTGACAGCAGCATTTGTCCTTTGTGCCACTCAAAACAATCTCTGATTATATATAGAGGCCCAGTGAGGTAAAATGAGGATACTCTTGCTTTTTATTCCTGGAACATTCAAGCCTCTGCTCGGGTGGAGTTTGGCAGATCTTTAGGGTTTGTGCTTGACTTCATGCCTTTGGGACTGGAGAAGTCATTGAAGGATGACAGAGACTGAGAGGGTTTTGATCACCGGAGGCTGATTTGAGCCAAACCATAGTGATGAAATGATTCTGATTGGTGTGGAGGACACTGGAATGTGTCTTTAAATAAGTGAACGTGTCACTGTTCAAGATGTGCCTGTCTGTAATTTTAGCAGTAAATGCTGCTGTAAATCAGAGCCAACAATATCTCAATATAGATTTTTTAGATTATATGAGGAAGGTTTAGATTTCATCCTATTTTTTGAAGATTTATAAGTTATGAACCCTCAAATACCATCATCCACGTGTGTGGAAACTATGCTGTACTACCCAGTAGGGGTGTGACGAGATGTTTACTCCACGAGATGAGACACAATATTGTGTTCATGATAACGAGACGGGATAAGATTTTTTTTTTTTGAAATGATGGAAATAGTCTTTTATTAAACAGAAAAAAAAATCTTAATGCAAAGCTATTTAGAAGCTTTATGAAATCAACTTGTATTAAAAGTTATTTTGCTTCTATTGTAATGAATCGTATGCTTTAAAGAGGATTCATACACTCTACTGACTCGACAAAGCTATTGGATGTTTTGATGGAATTTGATACCTCGCGCTTAATGAAAAAAATACTTTTTTCCAGACGGCATAAATGATGATGTTGGTTGAGTCTTCAAGAGTTGTGTGTGTGTGTGTGTGTGTGTGTGTGTGTGTGTGTGTGTGTGTGTGTGTGTGTGTGTGTGTGTGTGTGTGTGTGTGTGTGTGTGTGTGTGTGTGTGTGTGTGTGTGTGTGTGTGTGTGTGTGTGTGTGTGTGGTTGTGTGGTTGTGTGTGTGTGTGTGTGTGTCTGTCTGTCTGTCTGTCTGTCTGTCTGTCTGTCTGTCTGTCGTGTCCGCGTGCACTCGGAGAAGATGTGTGTCTGTGGCACTTTACTGACTCAGTACACGAGGTGCAGAGAATAATGTCAAACAGTCATGGGTGTATGGCTTATTAGACAATGGTAATAGTTTTATTACAGAGTTTACATATCTGTACAAAACTTAAATATTTTACATTTTTTATGTGGGTTTACGACAATTGTGGCTTTAAGCATATCTAAAATGCTATTCTATCGCATCTTTAATTTGTGTAGTGGCAGTTGTAGTAGCATTTGCTTTTGGATATGGTAACCTTTGAACTACAGTGAAAAAATCGGTTATGTCACACCCACTCAAGCAAACAAGTGACGTGCATCCAGTCCTGCTTCCAATCTCCAGTGCTAAATTCACCCTCACACTCCATCATAACAACACAACTCACGAAACAACTTTTCACCTCAATGAGAAATCTTGTCGCGATTCACGCCCCATTTACACAGGACTTCAGCGCCAACGCTTCATAGAAGGCGTGTCTGAAGTTGGGGCTGATGTGATCGTCATAGCAGCGTCAGCCAATGAAATTAGTTCGCAATCGGCTACTGTCTAAGCTGGTGTATTTGCATACAGCGATCTGATTGGCTGACGCTTCCGTCGGCACTTGAAAAGTTAAGAAAATCCCAACTTCTGAAGCAGCGCCGATGGATCCAGCAGTTCGGCAATGCCTGACGTCACCCATTCAAAGTGAATAGGAAGCGCTGAAGCTGATGCCCTGTGTGAATGAATCTCGCAAGATCTCGTAGTCCGAGATCTCGTCACACCCCTACTACCCAGACTATGCCATATATATCAATGTTACTGAATGTATTTGTTTTACTCTAATTTCTTAATTAATCATATGATTGAATATTTAACGTTTATGTATTTTGTATGTGCAAAATTGTTGTAAATCTTTTTCTTCTTCATGTTAGTCTTCTTCTTCTTCATCCTCTTCGATAATTTCTATTAAAAATTAAGTTTCCAGGTCACAGATGTTAAAAAGACCCCGAACTAAAAAGAAATAAATTAAAAGACCAAAACCTGCCTACCAAACAAAATCCGGTCCTTATATTTACGGAACCACACCGCTTTGGAAATGACAGAAAGCTCTTTGATTACAACATAAATATACATAAATGAAATTCACAAATCATTCTAAACAAATAATTAAAATAATGCACAAGCATTGTATTCACGTATACATCAATCCTGAAAAAAGAAACAGCTATTTTTTTGCTTATTGTTTTATGTCATTCACCTGCATGAACTCTAGTGAATAGAAAGTATAGAAGCTAACTGCTGTCCTCTTGCACGCTACAAAAGACAACATAACCACAACATAAGACAACATAACTTCATGTTAGTTTTTAGTTAGTTAAGACAACATAACTTTAAAATAAATTAAAAAAAAGGTTATGAAATATAAATAATTACATAAATTCAATATATCAATTCTTAATTAATCTTTATTTTTATAGTGCTTTTACAATGTAGATCGTGTCAAAGCAGCTTAACATAGAAGTTCTAGTAAACTGAAACCGTGTCTGTCCAGTTTTCAGGGTTAAAGTTCAGTTTCAGTGTGGCTTATTTTTCACTGCTAAAAGTCCAAACACTGAAGAGAAAACCCGCCAGTGGTGACAGTGACAAGGAACAAACTTCACTAATTAATGAACGTGAAGTGCAAAAAACCTAGAGAGAAACCCATGTACATCAAAACAAAAACAAAAAAATTGTTAAATAACCATTTAACCTTTAAAATTCTCTTAATATTTATGTCACCTATGTTCTCATGCTAACTAACCTATAACTTATATTCCCTCATAGACATTTGAATTCAACCAAACTCAGTATGAAATTGTTTCGCTGCTTCAGTTAATTCTGCTTGATATTGCTGTTTTTCCTTTAAATGTCACATCCATCAGGCTTTAATCACTTGTCTTTTCCACATCTTCTGCTTATGTATGAAAATGTCACATTTGATGCGAGCAACACTCCTCCACTGACTCTTAAAGGGTTTATTTATTTGTTGCGCATTCCGTTATTTATAAAGTCCATACCTGGCAGCAAAGTTTGTCCCTTCATAAGCCTCGTTGACGTTCTTATGTTTATATACTGTTGATGTGCTTTATGCAACATGCTTTATGAATTTGCCTTTAGGGTTCCCTTGTGACCATTGCAAATTGAATAGTGACAAGGGTGTATTGGCTCTGTGAGTGTGTTGAACTGTTTTTGTGAGGTTTTATTTATTTTCTTCTTTTATGCAGATGATGGCTGAAGCCACTTTGGATGCCCAACAGACACAGGCCTGGGATCAGTTCCGCACTATTTACAGAGGACCATCTCGGGTATGACTGACCAACAGTAACATTTCTTATCTCCCCACTTCTACTCTATACAGTTGAAGACATCAATATTGGTCACACACTTTATTTTGATGGTTCGTTGGTTGAATATATACTATACTATATTATATTATTATACTATATAAGTGTTACCAAATGATTAGGCCTAATGCAAAAGTGTAATTATTTGACTTTTTTAAACATCTGAACAAATATAATTCAAAGGTTTTTTTTTTTTTTTCAACACTTATATAAACGTGAAAATTATTTTGTCTTTGCCTTGATGACAGTACATAATGTTTTAATAATTATTTTTAAGGATTCTTCTAGTGTAAAGAAATATACAGAGACCCAGAAGTGACGTGATGGTGGAAGAAAAAAAATGGGTGAAAAAAAAAGGGTTGGGAGGAAAATAAAACGATAATAGGTAGTTTTTGCGTTATCTCACAAAACTGTTGTTCGACAAACACTTCATTTCATACATGACAACCCTGTTTTTGCCAGGATTCTCCCGTATTTTACCAATATATTTTATTATTTGGTATTTTCCCATATTTTTCTCATATTATTAATCTTGAAAGCATGTTGAAATTAAAAAAAAAAAGTCTGAATTCACTTTCTTTTCATTAAAGCTGTGCGTTGATCTGCGCCCCTCATATGCGACCTCTAAATCAGTGAATGCATGTATAAGCGCTGACTGACTGACTCCCAGGTCAGCTGTACACTGATTTAAAGAGGAGCTAAAGTGTAGGACAATTTGGGATTCAGGTGTGTGTTTAAACAGACAAATACACTTAATAAAATGTAAACATGCTTGCCTGGACGTCCTTCTTGTTTTATTTTAAACACAACTAATTTCCTCTTTAATGACCACAAACGGTTAAAGTATGCTTTTATTATATATTAGTGGTAAGTGACACCTCTGTTATCAAAAAAAAAAAAAAAAAATGAGAGACTCATTTGCTGCTCTTCACTTGTTTGATAACAGAGGTATCGCTTTAAATGGCATGAACAGAAGCTAATCTGGGATCAGTTTATCATACAGAGTGCGACCGTCAGTCAGCGCTTATGAATTTACTGATTCAAAGGTTGCAAATGAGAGGTGCTGATCGACGCACAGCTTTAATGGAAAGAAAGTGAATTCAGACTTTTTTTTTTTTTAAATTACAAGAAGCTTTTAAGATTAGTTTTTTTTTTTATCCACTTTTTTTTTATACACCATCACGTCCCTTCCGGGTCTCTGTAGAAATATAACTTTTTTTTAAAGAAATAAATAATGGGACACTGAAAAAATGTTATTACTCTGTTAAACATATTAGAAAAGAAAAAAATATATCATAGGAGGTGAAATAATTCTGTATTCTGCTGTAAATATAGTTGTGCTCAATTATTTACTGTATGTGCCACCTAATCTATTTTACTTTATTTATTTATTTAATTCATTAATGTTACTAACTTTTTTGTCAGTGTTTTACCTCTGTCATTAAAATATTTTTGTAGTCTTTTATGTAGCCTTTTCAAAAGTAAGGGTCAGTGTTTTAGAAAGCACTATAAGATTAATTTTAAAATGTCATGAATACTAAAGTTCACTGCTGTTCTGGAAAAGAAGCCTTGGTTCTTTTTAAGCTCTTGCATTCTGTTAAAGTTCTTCCTCGCAGTGGTTCAGTGATGAGATTCAGCTGTAGGACAATTCAAAAACTTACATCATTGCAAAAGCCAAGATTACATCAACATTATTTTCTTCAGCAATCTCTTGTTGTATTTGTGAAATATTTGTGAAATGTCTCAAATGCAGCTTTTCTACTAAAACTTTCTACTATTCTACTGAAAACGAAATCAAGTACTACAGTACTTTTAGCCATTTTAAGGTTAAAATTATTAGCCCCTTTAAGCTATATATATATATTTTTTTTTCGATAGTCTATAACTTCCCTAATTACCCTAACCTGCCTTTTTACCCTAATCAACCTAGTTAAGGCATTAAATGTCACTTTAAGCTGTATAGTAGTATCTTGAAAAATATCTAGTAAAATTTTATTTACTGTCATCATAGCAAAGATCAAATAAATCAGTTATTAGAAATGAGTTATTAAAACTATTATGTTTGGAAAATGTGTTAAAAACAATCTTCTCTTTGTTAAACAAAAATGAAAAAGTATGGACAATATATATATATGTGTGTGTGTGTGTGTGTGTGTGTGTGTGTGTGTGTGTGTGTGTGTGTGTGTGTGTGTGTGTGTGTGTGTGTGTATATATATATATTGTCCATACTTTTTCAATCCTAAATAGAAGTAATAATAAATTATTTGTGAGTAATAATTTGTTTTATTATTGTGTGCGTTTGCATTCATAGATGTGTCAGTGTGTGTGGGTAAGGTAATTCTCCTCAGCTCTATATGTATATATAGATTAGAGAGCTTTAGCATTAGATCCTATTTGTGCCTTTATTTCCACTCACAGCTGTTTATCCATCACATATGTACTTAAATGTACTCTCACCCGCATTTACACACCCCCTCATACACTTACACACATTTATAGAGCCTCAACTGAATTAAATGAAGCTGTTTGTTGACTCAATGCTGCTGGTTAAAAAATAAGTTGTCCCAGTGTCAAAAGGCGTCCAATAGCAGCACGTGTGTTCTTGATTGAAAATGGCTACAATGCCACCATGTGCACATGCTATTAATTTATTGTGATCGGATAACACTTGACCTCATTAAGTACATTCCTCTGGCCCCAATAAATTTGGAATTGTGCAATAATGTAAAATATAAAATACATGAAGTTTATACCTAATCAGACTAAACTATACATGGTTTGTTCCATTATAAGTCTATTATGGGAGAAATCTAAGTACTTCATATAGGAAATAATGCCATTATATTGCTATTTGCATCTGACCTCTTTAATAACTCAAACAAACTTGATCGATTTATTAGATAAGCCTAAAGAACCAGCTCACATATGTTTATAATAAGTGGACATATTAACACTGCAGGCATGCACAAACCATGACTCATCTGTTTTTCAGGTTTGTTGATGTAATATTAAATTAGTCAGAAATAGTAAATGCCAAGCACACAAAAAGCCTGAGTAGTCTGTAGCCATGGTGACAACCATCCACTTTTGTTGTGTACTGTAAGCTACAATTTGAACAATTTAACTCGACTAAGGGCATACTCACACTATGTACAGTTGCCTCGAACCGAGCCAAAGCACGCTTGTCCCCCCTCCCGTCTCCCCCGACGGCCCACACTCACATTACATTCGGGCCTGGGCACGCTTACGTCATCGATGATCCGCTGTTCAGTAGAGAAGCGCTCTCGCTCAGCACAGAGATTTCTCTAGTTATATTGTTTTAGTCATTTGGGATGAGGTGACACACAGTCAAATATTATGCTGAACAGATCCGCCAATTTTGACGCTCAAAAACAGTCATTAAGTCCTGGTGCTGCAGGAATTAGGAGGTTTGCTGAAGGTGCAGCTGTGGTGCAGTGAGGGGCTTGCTTCTTTTATAAACTTGGACAGTTTGCGTTCATTGAACGGTAAGAATGATTAATAAATCCATATGAAACAGTCCCTTTAAAGTCACGTCTAGCTTTCCGTTTCAGGCTTAGGCGCGTTTTGCACTCACACACAAGCGTACCGCGCCAAAGCCCAAGTGAACCGTGCCAAGTGAGCCCAATCCAGCGCACTCACACTTCTCAAACGTTCTGGGAAATGGGCCTGGGCATGGTTTGGATAGCATAGAGTGAGTATGCCCTAAATGTATTGTCATTCCTGAAATGTTTATAGTGTGCGCATTTAGGGGGTCACACAACGGATGTGCCGCTCAACACCATGGCGCGCCATGTAGATTTCAGCCATAGATTTCTATCAGAGTACGCACATCGTCGCCACAAGTCGGTGGCTGTCCATTTCGCCTAGCTACAACTCAGGACACTGTTCATAAATAATGATAAATGCTAATTAAAAAATGCAGGGTAAAAAGAGGCACAGAGGCTGCGATATCTCCTATATCTTTTCTCAGTTGTCAGGCACCAACATGAAAGTAAACTGTAGTGAGTTATAATAAATATTATAGTGTTTTTTTAACTATACTGACACTGACCCCTCCAGCAGAGATAGAGATGTTGCACAATCAACTAAAATGTTTTAGTTATGTTTTATGTGTTGTGCAGTAAGTCGAAATATTGATTATTGTGACAAGCCTAAATCAGACATGAGCATTGTTATTCATTTTATTAAACATTACAAGATTATTGTAACTAAAATAATTCATTATAATTTTAACACAAGACTCTAGTAGCTGATGTTGATGCTATTGTCCAGTTAAATATCACACTACCAAGCCCTTATCCTCTGATGAAATAGGAAGTTGCTGAAGTTATCCAGTATCCCTCACACACACTGTCAATCTTAACATCTGTCCTCGGCATTACCAGTTGAAGGAGATTGGCATTCTGAAGTGGTACAGAGAGACTTTTCATTATCAGCTACCTCCGTCTGTGTCATTTTTGTTTGTGGGGGGTGTTTGTGTTGTCATTCGTTTCCTGTCTCTGTGTCAGAATTCACACTCTTGTTAATGAGGATCAGTATTATCAAGATGTCACGTAATACCAAAATGATGATCGGGATGAACAGATGGAGAAATAAATGCGTCCATGTTCTCACTGTGCACGTGTGTTTACGAATACATAAATAGCATGTGGATGATGCAACTATGAATGATTGGATTTGAATGACCGGCAAGTTCTTATTTAAAAAAAAATTAATAATTTTATTACTTAAAGGTGCAGTAGTTGATCTGCCAAAATGCTAACAAGGTCTAGCCTCCTGAAGTCATGAACGCACTCCCAATAGATGACCATACACAACCTTATAATAGACAACCACAGAAATATAAAATCAAATTTGTTGACTGATTTTAACACTTTGTGTTATCTATCATAATTGAGTTATTCATCAGACAGACTAACATTTTTTTTGTCTTATGCCTT